ATTCAAGATGCAATAATTTTATTAAAAATTTGGCTAACACAAAAAAAATATTGGAGTGAGTTTTAATTTTATATTATTTATTATGAATTATTGTATGTACTTTTGTTTTTATTATTAACATTTTTGTTTCAGGAGTATGGAAATATAACCAATTATATTTTATCATTGTATGTTGTATATTTGTTTAAGAATCATAAAATAAACAAATTTATGAGTAGTTATCAAATAATTAGAAATGTTTGGTTATATTTTGGTATGTTTTTATAAAATATTTGAATCAGTTACATCAATTTTATAAAAAAATTAATTTTTTTAGGTAAAAGTGATTGGTTGAATGATGGTATTACTTTATTTAATTATGAAAGTAAAATAGATATTAAAATACCTTCAATGTCAGATTTTCATTCTTCATTCCAAGTTGTTTTTGTTGATTCATCAGGTTATTTTAATATTTGTGCTAATGTTTTTAAATCAAATTACATTTATGTAAGTCAAAAGAAATACATTTTTTTTTTTTTTTTAATAATTTATCAGTTGTATTTTTATTTTTTAAGATAAAAAATGAATGTAACTTTGCTGTTGAAATGTTGGATAATTCAAATATGAATTCATTTCCATGTTTATTTTTAACAAAAGTTTCTTTTCTTCAACAATTTGATCATTATATCAAGTAATTAAATAGCACATGATATTATATTATGATTAGAATATATATTAAACAATCATTTTAATTTATTTTAGTTTTAAAGACATAAAAGTAATAAGAAATGTAGTTGATCAGCATGGTGATAAAAAATTGAAGTTGGATTTGAGAGATGATTTGGCTCTACAGTTTCAGCAAATTATTGAACCAATACTGATTTCCAGTCTTGGTGATAGAATAAGTGAAATATGTTTCAAGGTTTTTCAAAAACCTGATGACATTATGACAATTCAAGAACCTTTTACTGATTTTTTGATCGGTCTTAAGTTAAATTCTCAAAGAGCAAATATAGTTGTTGAACGTGGTCCTACTGCTAATTTACCTGAGGTTGTTTTTATGAAACATATGTATATATATATATATATTTATTTACTTGAATCAAAAAAATTAATTTTTATGATTTAGGCTAAAGAATTTCGTTCGTTTTGGAAAGAGAAGTCTCAATTGAGGCGTTTTAAAGATGGAGAAGTTTGTGAAGCAGTTGTTTGGGCTGATAGTAAAGTATCTGTTAGCAAAAAGCGTTGTTTAACTAGAGACATTGTGCAATATGTATTTCTTGACAAGTTATCAATTTCTTCAAAACAATTTATTTATATTGCTGATCAAGCGGAATCAGTATTACATAATCCATTTGTAAGTTTTTAAGTATTAAATTAATATTAACTTTGAATATTTATAAAAATGTAAAGAAACCTTTAATTAAATCTAAAATAAATAAGGTAGTTTAACTATTTAATAATAAATTGTATTATTATAATTATGATTATTAATGATTAAAGATAGTGCCAATTGGATTTGAATATGGTACCGGAGAAGCAGCAAGTTTATGCTGCATTGATACCTTTAATGAGGTAGGAAAATCTATTCGTTCGCTCGAAGGATTACCATTAACTGTGAATTCGGTACAAGGAATATCACCAGTATTGAGATATGCTGATGTTATACCACCATTATCTAGAACTCATGTGGACAATAAAAAAAAAAGGAAAACTAAAGGAAATTGTATATTGACACCTACAGATGAAGAAATTAAAATTGCTCCTGGGCTTGTTGAACCTATTGAAGGTATGTTGTTCTGAAATTCTTGTAACTCATTTTTAATTATTTTGAAATTTAGGTGTGTTACAATTTGCATCTAGTGGAAAATGGCCCAATGAACTAAAAGCAGTAAGAAGAATGATTACAGCTTTTTATATTAACTTAGCTGCCCGGTTAAATAATGAATGTAATTTAACTTCTCAACCATTTGTTAATCATATTGATATCATGAAAGTATGATGTAAAATAATCTTAATGTTTATAAGTATTTGTGAAAAATATCTTTCTTTTAGAATGGTTTCGTATTTCGTTTTCGTATTTACTATCCTGGGGAAGTATCACTGATCAAAAAAGAAGTGATGTCAGATGGTATGATACGGTATAGAGACACAGTTGAGTCTCTGAATTTAGAGCGAACAATGGTTCAGTTACCAACATTAACAAGTTCTTTACATGGGTAATTAAAAGTCTACACATATTGATGTAAAATAAGTATAGTAGACTGTAGTGTATTTTATTGGTTTATTTTTATTTTTATTGTAACAATGCAGTGTTGTAAAATTCTGGTACTTAATGAATAATATTCTAATTAAATACTAATTTAAATAATTTGTTTTAAGGCTACATGTTCAATATCCATCATATGGGCCAACTTGCTGTTTAGCTAAACGGTGGATTAGAAGTCAGTTAATTGATAGTTCTCATTTCCCAGATATATGTGTTGAATTGCTAGTAGCTAGTTACTATTTACAGCCTGAGCCATTTAAAGTAACCACTCAACCAACCATTGGTTTTTTTCACTTTTTGCGAAAATTAGCCTTAACCGATTGGTTTAGAGAGTTTGTTATTATAAACTTCAATAATGATATTCAAAGTATTTAATTATTTTTTATTACCTACAAATTCTAATTTTAATATAATTTTATAATTGTTATAATATTTATAGAAGATCATATTTCATCAATGGAATGTTTTATTGCAAGCCAACAAGATTATTCATCAAGGCCTGCTATGTTGTTAGTTACTCCTTATGATTTGGATGGCACTGCATGGACCAAGGAAGTTCCTACATTCACAATACTTGCTCGTCTCATGCATTTGTCTAGAAAAGCTTTAGATGTAGCAGAAGAAAGTTTATTGACAAATGGTACCGTGGACCATTTTAAAGTAATTGATTTTATAAAGGGATATAATTAATTTTATTTATCATTAAAATTCATTTTTTTTTTTTTTTAATAGCAAATATTTAGACCTTCTTTAGATGAATATGATATAATAATAAGACTAAGGAATATTATGAACCCTTTAAGACATATGGCTATTGATGCTCAAATGGCTAAAATTTATACATTAGAACCTCCCGAAGAAAAAGAAAAAATTCCAATTATTGGATTAAACCCAGTTCAAGAGTTATTAAATGTGTTGAGGGTATTTAATATTTGTATTATATTTTATACATAATAGTTATATTTCTTAACATTTAATTTTTATTTCAAATGTAAATCATAATATTACTTTTAGGATAGTTATTCTGAAAATGCATTATTTTTCCATGACACCTATGGTGGTAATGTGATTGGGGTTGTTTTTAAACCAGATGTACTTAAGACAACTGATTTTAAGGTAAAGATATCTTAATTTATTTGGTCTCTAAATAAAATTGATAGTATATGTATTTATTTTTTTTGTAGGTAACCAATGTTAATGGTCAAAAATTACAAAAGTCTTCAAATAATAGAAGACAGGTGGGATTTAATTTAGATGCATTCATTGAAGACATAAACGTTTATGGTGGTTTTATTGTGAAAGAAATTGAAAAATGTAACAAATCACTGTTTGTGAATTAATATTGTTATACTTGTATGTAAATTAATTAAAACAATAAAATTATTGAAATGCTACTTTAATATTAATGACTCAACACTCAAATCATTCAGTAATTGACTTAATTGTTTTGATAACATTTGTTTGCATCAAAAATGGATCATTGATTCAAATATAAATTCAAAGTGGCAGTCTTAAACTTAAATCAAACAGTGTTAAATTAATTAGTTTATCTATAGTTGTTTCAAGTACTTAATAGCATTTCACAAAATTTTAATCGGAGATTTTTTCTTTTTTTTTTTGACTTTTCGAGTAATAATTGAAAGTTTTGATTAGTATTTTGAATAAAAATTACAATTTAAATAAATTGACCAATAATATATTTAAAATAATAAAAACATAAATTTTTTTGTATTAAAGTATTACTATTTTTAATTTTTTAGACAACATTTTAAATTGTTTAAAAAAATTCTAATTTTATTTTGTCAACTATATAATAAATATTTATATTTAGAGGATGTAGAAAATCGAGACGAGTGGAGGTTAAGTCAATGGTGGCCGACCCCAAATAGTGGGGAGAAAGGCGAAAGAGAAAAAGAATATAATAAATATTTCATTTTAAATATTGTTAAAGAATATAATTAATTTTTACAAAATCACCATATAAACTTAAGTCTTGATAATTAAACTAACAGTTAATCTGTATTTGATATTTAAATTAATACCTGGCAAAAATATATTCATCATACTATTTGTAAAGCATGCTCATTATTTTTTATTTTTTGATATAACTATGATTGTTCGGTCATTAAAATGGCGAGTGTACTAAGTATTATATCATTCATATGGATAAGTACAATAAAAAAAATATAGGCTCTTAATAATTTCTTGTGTGATGTATTTGAATAATTTAAATGATAATTTTAAATGATAATAACTCAGTTGAAATAAATATATGATATGAACTCATAAATGTGGTCAATAGTAGACCAAAAAATTATTGTTAAAACATATAATAAAATCATAAATAAACCTACTTGAATATACTAAAAGTTTCTACAACTTAATACAATGTTTATTAAAATATTTACTGTTACAATATATGATTATGTAATATTTATAGTATACAAATATTGATAAATTAATATAGAAAAGGTAAAACAAGAATACTGAATAACTAAAACAACGAAAAAGATAAATATCAAAGCATGTAATATTCAATTACTAAATATAATATTATTATGTATGGATAGTTATGCATATATTATGCATCAGTGGCATAATTGACAAAAGGTTTAATGTTTGATAATTTAAAGTTAATGTTGAACATTTAAATAATGAATGAATTGTGAAAAATAATATTGGCTTTTAAATAGTACGCATTGTGTACCTAGATTTAAAACTGGTTTAATTGGTTATAAACCCTAGGGGTAGACTTGGCATCAAGTGGCTCTTGGAGGGGGAAATATCCAACTTGACCTATTATTATCACATTTCCATTATTAAATATTTTTAGTTAATAGTGTTCAATTAATCTCAATTCAGATATTCTAATAGTAAATGAATGGTGTGTTACTATTACATTTTATATATAACTAAGTATATATATCATTTGTGCATTTGATAAATATATATGGGATATAAATAAATATAAAATATATAATAATAACATAGGTATATAAAATATAAATAATGAATTATAAAAATTAAAAAAATGAATCAATTTTTTAAGAATATAACTTTAATTTAACTAATACATAATTTACTAACTAAATTATATAATAAGACTATAATACTAATTTATATAAGACTCATGTTGAATATCAGTATATTATTCAACTACATTTTTGATACTAGTATTCATTTGAGTAGGTACCTAATGTTTAAAATACTATTTTTGAAAAGTGTTTGAAGAGTACTTTTTTAAAGTATTTATTGCAACGCTGGTCTTAATTATATTATACACAACTTTTATATAGAAAAGATCTTGCATTGGATCAGAAATTTGATACAGACTACAATAGTAGCTTTTAGTAGGTAATGACTACCTTTATTTTTGAATATGTTTCAATATGTTTCAATATATATATTTATTTATTATTAATTATTATATTAGTCTCCAGTGGCATAGCCGGAGGGGCGGTTAACGGGTTACACCCCCTCCCGAAATATTTTTCTTATGTTGTAAAATAAACAATAATTTAAGATATAGTAATAATGTTATATTATGTCATTATTAAATGATTTTCATAGTCTTAATAAACTAAATAATAACACATTTTATATTTTAACTTATGTTTAATGAACTTACTAAAATTAAAAAATTGGTACTTATGTAGGATTATTGAATATTTAAGACCCCCAAAATATTTGAAAAAAATATTCAAAAAATATCCCAGTTAACTTATTCTATGGCCTTCAGGTAGTTATAGGTATGCCAATATTGACGAAAACGAAAACAACTCGGTAAAACGTTACCTACCTATTTTTATACATACATTATAATATATATATTAACTATAGTAATTCTGTCAACAGTTTTAAATGTGTGTATCTTATATATGTATATGTATACAGGGCCGTATTAACGCATAAGCACTATAGGCACTGTGAAATGTGTGGCTACGATTTTTTTGTAGTATGCAAATTGGTATAAAAAAAAAAAAATAATTATGGTTTTTGACAATTTATATTATGTATGTTTTGGATTAAAATGAATTTTTAAAACATTTATTAAAACTTTTATCGTATAAAAATGTATAATAGTTATCATATAAAAGTTTAGATTTGATTTTTATGTTGTAAATATAATTTTTTTTTAAAAGCTTAACTCTGCATGAGATTCAATATTTCCTCTCCCAAAGAAAATGTTTCTTAACCATTTAAATACTGGATAACGGCCATGCAAGGACTAGAGGCCTAGTGCCTACGATACTGTTAATCTGGACCTGTATGTATATACAGTTCCATCAACTATAAAATAATAATCGAACAAACTTACGTAGTTTTTAAGGATTACCACGTTTTCCGAGTCATTGTAATTCTTACTTAGCCACTAAAAATACTTTGAATCATATATTTGATAGTACCTCAATTAAATTACATCCTTGTTACTTATAATATTATTGTACATACGTAAATATGATCGTGAACTTTTCATTCATATTCCATTTGTGTAACATCGCTAACTATATGTGGTTGAAAAAATGTATAACTGTGAGCTTTTTTCTTCACAAATATTACCTACCAAAAAGCATAACATTATAATTAATTACAATTTTAGTCTATAAAATTAAAATCTTCGTATCAAAGAAATATATATATATATATATATATTTATATGTACCTAATTATAATGTAAAAATGTTTTTATTTCCAGATGGTAAGTATTGTTTTTTAAGATAATTTCAACATTTATATGGTAGCTTATTTTTCTCAAAAAGTCTATGGAAATTTAATCCGATTCAAGTATTGTATATTATTTGTTCAATTAGTCAGTTAGTGCAGTGACGTAGCAATTTTGCAAGGGAGGAGGGTTAAGTGTAAATTAAACTTAGATTTTTCTATATAGAAAACTTATTTTATTTAGAACATAAAAAAAAATTAATAATATTTATCTAAAAAACCAGAATCCAGATTCAATGCGTGTACTTTTACCTCAGTAAACTGCTAGTAACTATAATGAAGGAATATTATAATTAATGTTATCATTGTACAGTGTATAAAGTAATGGTATAATTAATACAGAGTACCATGTCAACCGTTCTAGTGCCATTACTCGTTGAAGTGTAGAATTATAAGTAATCTAAACACATTTTATCCATGCAAATTTTGTAACTAGAATCGTAACGTTTTTTACATTGATTTAAACATATATAACTGAATTCTATAATTCTAATTTAAACGTTATATTTTCAAAATTACTAAGGAAATTTAGAAATTAATCTACCATGTGAGGTAAAGAGAGAAGGTTTAGGAATTGAGTACTCTTTAATATTATAGGCGCACACATGGTGGATACCGAGTGTACTCGGGCACCTCCCAAAATTTTTTAAATGCGGTCCTTCAATTTAAGTTTAAGAGTTAGAGCCTATATTTTAACTGATGTTGTTCAATTTAAATGTAATTTATTCTAAAATATTTGGTAAAAATAAATTATATTTTGTAATAGAAAAAATAAAACAATATGTTCTAAATTTTCGTGTAAAAACTTTTGATAATATAACAGCTATAATTATATTCAAATATATAAATCATAAATAATTAAAGCTATCTGAGAAAAATATACGAGATTCAAGGAAAATATTTTTTGGAATAAATATACCACAATATTAAATAAAAAATTAAAGTTTTGTTTTTTTTAATTATTTTTACATTATAATTTATTAAATAAATCTACTCTTTTTGTTAAGAAAGGGTCCAAAAGTATTGTAAGTATCCTCTGAAATACAGGTCTGTGCACGTCTATGCTCTTTATTAACTTCCCCCAGAAAGTGCTCACAGTTTTATTGTCCACAAAGTAATTGTCTTGAGTTTCAACATAACTGATAATCACATCAATAAATACTTTGTAACTACATATAAAAGTTTGAATGTTTTATTTTACCGCCTTTAAGTCTAGTATAATAAAATACCGTAGGTCTTTATTTGCTATCATTTCTTACTTGATTGGTTTTTAGATGCGCAATACTGATTTACTATTATAAATTATGACATTGTTTACGAGAAAACGCTATTGTTCTTACATTTATATACATATATTCTTAATATAGTGATGTTGTACTCGTATTTTTGGAACTTTTTTTGGGGAACTAGTTTTTTTTTTCAATTTCCAGAGCGGTAATATTTTTCAGCGAATAGTTAACGAAAGCGGCGTTTGCATTAATAGTATTCTGTATACAGGGACGGCGCGAGGAAGTGGGCAATAGGGGCAACTGTCCAGGGCCCCGCGCCTTAAATTATAATTAAGGCCCCGTGGTTCTGATTTAACTGAACTTAAAATATTTTAGTAATATAAATTATAAGATCCAACATTTATTTTGCCCAGGGCCTCGCAAACTCTAGCACCGTCACTGTTTGTATATTGTTATAGCGTAGCGATGACGGCATAATACGCGATAAAGTCGACCAAATTAGCACAATCGACCTAGACAGTCGTTGTCGTGAATAATATATTTTATTGTTAACACCTCAATGACTGGTCGAAGTAGAAAGGTAATAAGACTCAAAACTCTCT